AATATTCAACCGATCTAGACTGACTCCATTAGAATAGTATACAGGAAGAATTCAAGAAAATCCATAGTTGCGGCGTCTCACTGTCGGGTGACCACCAACAGGCGCGCGTGGGCTGTATACCACGACGACGCCCGCCCCTATGCGGATTCGAACCAGTGACCCTACAATTGCAAGCCAACCGTGCAGATCAGTCAGCCACCGGCCGATGATAAGATCAACCATTAGTTGCAAGCAGCAGGGGGCATTTTGGGTTTTTGCGTAGATTCGTCGCAGTTAGACTCAGGTAGATAGCCACCACATCCAGGAAAGCGCTTTCTTGGATGTGAGGTGGCTGTCTGTCTGAGTCTAACTGCGACGAATCTACACAAAAAGAACAACCATTACAAACAATTAGTAACCAGTCAGCGATTGAGAGTGATGCTGGGAGTGGTGAATTTATGAAGTACGACAAGGACCGTTACAGTGACTTGCATGTATTTGTTCTCCAATCTTTCGACTGTACGCGTGTACTCCTCGGCGGCTTTGCGGAAAAGATCTTCATTCTGGCAAATTAAAAGCGAAAGAGCCAGTTAGAAAGCAGTAAACATTGTCGCGTACGATTACTCATGCACTGTATTTACCTGCCGAGCTCATGTAGGCAAACCATTCGCAATACAGAAAGTATGTACAGGTCATAGACCACCACCGAACCATGGACGACCTTAACTGTGCATTCGACTGCGTTGGTGGTTTCTTACTAGTGGATGGCGTCCGATTCAACGTGTCCATCGATCGAAGTATCCGTGGACAGCCCTGTTTCCAAGAATTATATTGCTTGCTCTGTATTTCCACGTGCTAGAGTCGTTAAGCTTTCCAGGTCAAACTGATGACCTGCTTGTTTCTCGTGTATAGAAATCAAGGAATAGGGATCATACGTTCCTATGCTCTGTGATCCGTATAGAAAACTTTTGTCCGGTTTGGCCGATGTAGTGCTTAACACATTCGCCGCAGTTTATTTGGTAGATTACATCGGTTCGATTGCCTTGTTCGCTTTCGTCCTAGGGTCTTGAAAGCAACTATCTCAGAGTAGCATATAGTATGTGTGTTATGGAGATTCTGCGTGGCTTTAGTAATGGTGTTGCTAATTCAGAAACGTTCTTAATGTATGGAAGCACTACTCGTTTATTTGTCTGTTCTGGCGGCTGCTGGGGCGTTCTGTTAAAGATCCTTCTAATAAGGTTCCTTGGATATCCGCTGTTTTGTAACATGCGGTACCGATGGTTTTTCTCCTTTTTTCTCAACTTTACCGTGATGTAGCGTGTTTCCGCTCTCTTGAATAGAGTTTGGATACCGCTATTTTGTGTCTCATCGGGTGGTTACTGCGGCAATTCAAAATTTCAGCCGTATGTGTCTGCTTCCTATACACGCAAATTTAAGTCCGTCGGTGTCCCTGCGAATCAAAACGTCTAGGAATGACAATTTGTTGTCTTCCACCAATTCAGTGGTGAACTTGATGTCGTCGAATGTGTTGTTGATCAAGTCTTGTGTACGCTGTACTGAATTTCGTTTTGTTATGACATGCATCGCTTGCGTATCGGATCCAAAGTTTTGGGTTGATCAGTGGCATGGTAATGCGCTCCAATGTTTGCATTACGATCTCGGCAATGAGTCATGATATGGGTGACACCATAAACTGTAGTGAATGTGATGAACACTACATCGGCCAAACTAGAAGGAAATGTTCCACACGGATAACAGAGTATAAGAAGGCATGATCCCCATTCATTGGTTTCAATACACGAGGAGGAAGCAAGTCATCTGTTTGATGTGGAAGAGGTAACGATTCTAGCATGTGGAAATAAAGAACTGGCAAGAGAATTCTTGGAAGCATGACTGGCCACGCACAACTAGATCAATTAACACGTTGAACTGAACGCCATCCACGCAGATCAACGAGTAAAGAAACACCATTGTAGTTGAATGCGCTTATTGGAAGAGCACACCATACAAGCAGCTCAGGTAACATTTTTAGCCGCGGAGGCAAACGGGCCATGGTTACGAAGCATGGGTCGAACAAGCCGTTTTCAAAGGTCACCAGTCCAGAGGACTAGTGACGATGTTTTATAAAAGCGCACGCGCATCACTACTTGGTTCAGACCTACTGACGCATGGCTCCGCTACGTTACAAACTAACACACGGGTGATGCCAACTCGACTGATGACAAATTGCCAAGGCCAGAATACAGTTCGTTTAACGAATGAAATACCTGAGGTACTTAAGGCAAGGCATCAACAGTACGCCGGTACGCAGTATCGACGCTTCGAAACCGCGCAACCACTGCCGGTCGCACGTGGGCTAAGGATGTTGCAGGCTCAAAACTACGCCGTCAGGTTCCAAAACAAGCTCGTTACTGCTCGCGGAGTTCGATGGCCTAGTGATCATGGCGTTAGGCGCTAAGAACTATGCGCCGAGTTCCACTCTCAGCTCCGCTATCGCTACCTGATGAGTCCAAAGCAGGACGAAACCGTCAGTCGTGGAGTGCAGAGATGAGAGACAACCACATGGAATACCTCCACAAGCTCGTTACCTTTAGGCTACGGGCCGGTAAATCGTCAGCTGTACGCCATGACGGCGCTTCGCTGCCGCGCGACCACCAACAGACGCACGTGGGCTTAGAATACCGCGAGGTCGCTCGCCCCTATGCGGATTCGAACCAGTGATCAGCGTTCAGACCAATTGGCCGCCAGCCGACCCTGAGGTACTAACTTGTACTTCCATATCAGGTCATCCGTATTTTTAGAGGAGCCATAAGATGGCCTGGAAAAAGGAATCAAGACATCACTTCCATTGCTGTTGCTCCGATAATGGTAGCTCCATGTTTCCTCCAGGTTCACTTATTACTGTATCCCATCTATCATTTGCTATTTCAAAGTACCGCCTGACCCGCGTTACCACAGCGTGGTCCTTTTTGTTAGGTCAGTTGCTGTCTGCGGATATACCCTACCAACGCAATCTGTGTTCATCCTGTCCCCACTGCTTGCGGTGATGAGTTTGCCACTGAAACTAATTCAACTCTCAGGGACTGGTTGCACACTACAATAGTAAAAATCCATGTATCTCGTGAAGTAGCTCCTCAGTGATCTTCGTGGAAGATGAATCAATGAAAAGCAGAATGGTTAATGCCCTGGAGAACACGAATTTACACGTAAGGGGTGATGGAACCAATGTGTAAGCTAACAAATCGCCATGGTAGTCTTCATTTAGTCTGAAGCTATCAACGATTTAGCAGATCCAACGTTCTTGTGATGCCGCTTTTGTGAGCGGTGTGCCGAATGATTTTAACATAAACTTACTTCTACCCACCGCCAGGAAAGAACTGTAGTCTTCCAGGGGTTCCCTGTGTCAGAGTTCACTAGGTCTGTCGTGTTTCGCCCCCATAGCAATGTAAACAAAATGGTAACGAACCGCTTCATTAGCTGTATCTTCGGGAATAGAAACTTCGTCGTTTGATTAACCAGTAAACGGAGTAGGTGATCAAGATAAAAGTTTCCCGCCGAGGTCAGCTTCAGTTCCAGTGACGAGTTTAGTACAGTGCATAGCATCGCGTGCTTCGGTATGCGCTTTGTGGTGCGACGTGCTACCGTGGAACTACTTCGAGACCCGCCAACCCCGAATCACTGGAGAGCAATCGAAAAATCTAATCCGCTGATCTATAAGTGTGGCGTTTTAGTTGGTCAGATCACAGAAAGTTTATTGTGCGTATCCACTGATGTCGGTACCTATTCCAACTAAAAAAGCAAATGTAAAGACGGTGTAATACTAACCTATCGGTTGAGAACACAGTGAGAAGAACGGGTGTAAATGGAATTAATGTAGGGAACAAATATTTGGTAGCTGGACGTTAAGGTGGTGGAAATAATGCGTCGCTGATCACCAGAAGCCGTGAAGTATCTCTGACTACTGGTGAAATTACTAGGTGAATGACGTTTAAGCATGACAGTTGATATGTGGCGGCAAGCTCTTGAGACGCAACAGATCAGATGCTGGGCTTCCATCGCTTACGTACTTTGCATGCCAGTAAACAGGTACTTTGGCGTGCATGGATTGCTGCCATTGTACTTAGTGGATGAAGCGTTCAAGTATCCGGCTGTAGACAGTGGAGATAGAGAAAATTCCTAAATATGGGATTTTGTTGTAATTAATCGAGAGTTCGTCGCATCAGCTTCCAAATCAGATAGTTCTCTACATGCCCAGACATGTGTTGGTGCGACGAGCTCTCAAATAATGTAAACCATTTTCCAGTATACACCTTAGGATCAGGGCTTGCCGTCTTTCGGTATTGGCACCAAGAGAACAGGCACATAGGTGGGTATGGAAGTCCCCTCCGTTACGATGTATGACGCAGTGTTGTTAGTATTAGCATTGGACAATTATCTCATACAATTTCTTCCTATCTTTAATTTAGTTAGCTGGCTGTTAATCTCTCGCATATCCTTGATTTAATGGTAGCATTGTCCGGCGCTGTCAGGTACCCGAATTGTGGAGGACTAATAAAACGAGGCTGCCATCTTACAACATTGCAAGAGCCCGTAATTAAGTCGTGTTCAGATGTTGAAATAAAACTGGTCATGACAATGGTGGTTGGCGTTTGGTGTTAAAAAACCATTAGTAAAGGAGAGTAGCTTCGATTCTGTCAAAAAGGACGAAATGGGTAGGTGGGGTTGAATAAATAACATATGGTCAATGAGCCAGAGAAATGAAAATCTGCTCACTCTTTGTTCAACCAATTTAAGTCGTCGGTTGTAATCATCCTCTAGTTCACGTGCGTACTTCAACTGCAAACCGAAGTCCGAATCAGGAAATTGGGGAGAAGAGGCTTGGTGATTATCTACATCGCGATCATTCATCGCGTTGCTTATGCGCTCCGCAACGGAGGATGTAATCTAGCAAGGGATCAGGTGGGGAAAAGTACACTTACAGTTATGTCATCCGGATAAAACTCAACGTCATGAGGTTCACCAGATGATAGTACGCTTCCCATTACTGAATGACGAAAAGGATTGTCAATAACAATGCCTTTACAGCGGACCAAGAAGTCACATGATTTGGCATTTTTATTAATTAATCAAAATGTTAATGGTAAACATAGGGTAACTGTGAAGTTGAATTGGTTATCCAATTTAGGTAGTCAGGAGAGCCGTTTTGTATTTCGAACGATATGACCTCAGGACAATCGTATGGATGATTAGCTTTCACGGTTGTGATCAGTTCCTCCATGAGACTGGATCGAGTTTTGATTATCAATAGCAGTTCCGAACTTTTTTCTAATTTTCCATTCCAGAGGTAAACCGATTCGATAGATGGCACAATGTTCACGCAGGCGGCTAGTTGCTTGGTCACCAGTAAAGAAGCCAGATTGTTAGCCACTGACGAATCAGGGCATGTGACAAAAGCCACTGAATGCATCTTCCGTGCAAAAAAAGAATCGAATGGCTTGATCCAATATACGGCAAAGCCTGAAACACAGAGGAGGAACACTATCTGCACATCGGAAGAGCAGGCAAGCTTCAAAAGACACTAGACGTACGGCTCATTCCGATTTGAGAAGCCCGCCAGAACATTAGTGAAATTCTCCCTTGATAACACAGCACTGGACCACTTGAAGCTATGGTTTAAATATAAAAACAAACCAAGGTGGTTCCAGAAGCCACTGAGATCAACACTGTGCCTCTTAGTTTGCTAAAAGTTTAGCGGCGTGAATTTCAGTCAAACTCAGCACGGCGTCAAAGATCGAACTTCGCCTGGTGTGGCGCGTTTAGTATGAGCTCGATCCGAGGTTCCGTAATCTTCCGCGTGCAATGTATGGATTGCTATATATCCGTAATGCTGTAGGGCTGTAAGACAAAAAATATACACCATAGGTGGTTGGATGCCGTTTTCATAAACATCTAGTGGGTAACTGAGGTTGTGAATTAGTAGTGGATTTTTGTGTAGTTTACAGACTGTTCACCACAATCCATTCATAGCGAAAAAGACCATCGCTCATTTGGAATAGGACTAGACGGTCATTTCGTCAATAGCGCGAATCCCCGGTTCCAATACGATCCGAAAAGATGACTTCTTGACGCTGGCCAGTGGCTAAAAGAATTACGCGCTTATCTTGTAATGCGTAGGTCACCGTAACGAATCCGCGTAGATGCGGGAAGCATCAAGGTATGCTCAGTCCACGCATGACCTTTGATGGTAGCGTGGCAGCGAAGCGTCGGTACGGTGCGCCGGCGTATTGCTGATGCTTAGCTTCTTCTTTTTCGGGGGATGTGCTCTACTGATGAACCATTGTAAGACGCCATCGCAACGAAACCGGATCATCATGTGCTGCGATGGTTTGCGTACCTCCCTAACTCTATGACTTATTTGGCACTTTCCATGTACCATCAAAGCCATCCATACCAAACAGATCAATGGTCAACCCAACTCAGTCGCACAACCCTCTACGGAGTTAGAGGGAGGTCGATGGCCCCCTTTCCTAAAAAGCTAGCCATGAAAAACAACTGGTTTATGGGTTATTAGCTCACAGCTCGAACACGAGCGCCATGCAGTATTTCTGATGGTGGGAGGGCACCGCTCTGTACTCACTGGTTTGCTACCGCCAGCCTTAAACCAGGTAGCCTCTGGCGGCTAAACGGAACGTATACACAACCACGGGGTTACGACACTATGCCGTGCCGACAATTTGAACGGGCTACATGCCGAACTCGCAGACGACCCATTGGGGAACAGATATATAGTATAAGTGGCTAGCAAACTCGAAAGCATCGACAGAGTAAACGTGGACGGTGCCTTGACGAGAACAAACAGCCAAATATGGTAAACTAGGTAAGCGGAGCTCGTTCGCGTTGGTTAAGGCAAAAAGGCCTAAGATGAGGTCGCACTTTCTATTATTAAAATGAGGCCTAACAATAAACAGACATCCCGTTTCAGTGAAAATATACTGTCTTCCGATACGACTTATGGTTTTCGCACCTTTATTGGTCGGCAAGCAGCCGACCATAGGCAGCAGTAGGGCAGGCGAAGTAGTAAAAGTTATAAACGCACAGCTCATTTAGCGTAGATCACGAGCACAACGTAGTCACTGACGGTGGCAGGGCACCGCCTGGTGCCCAACGGCTTGCTACCGCCAGCCTCAAGCCAGGCAGGCCCTGACCAGAATGGTGCAAGCATGCCAACTCACATCTGCAGCTGGTCATGGTCGCAGACGCGCAACATAATACGGCTGTAATACATATGTGTACTATTCTAAATCTTCAAGGGCTGTGTGTGACGGTCCAGATCCAAATGGGTCTCTGTAGTCACACTCCCGAGATGGACTTGTTTCTCACTGTCTTGTGGGTCAGACTGTTGAGCCAAGGGCTCCAGGTGAAGTCCCTCAAGCGAAACTGCATGTAACCCACTGCCTTCTGCGTCAGAATGTTGAGTCAAAGGCTAGAGGTATGGCACCTCGAACAAAACCCCTTTATCGGGATGGGCAGCAGGAGAGTAATATCTGCCCTCTGGACTCCGTCAATAATACTCCCTCTTCATTCTCTTGCTTTTTTCCTCCCGTCTAGGCTCGCTTCTTCCCCGTCCGTTGAGAAAGAGACTGCCGCCGATTTCGTAACTGCTACCATCGATACATCAAATCAACAGTCGCATTTCACATTGATTCTTTTAACGTACACACTCTGGGTCAAATCGGTCAACAGGCAGCACCGATTTTTACCCTTCACTCACTTGATATTTGTGTGTACTGTCTCCGAAACACGCAGACAAAACAGCAGCGTTGTGACGAAACTTGGACTTCCTGATTCGAAATCCGCAAACAATGACTTTAGTTTCCGTGTCTCTGGCGATAGTGAGTCAGTGGTTCAAGGTAGTTACGCTGTTGGTATTGCTTCCAGCATTAACTGCCGGCACCCTTTGCTAAGGACACCGAAAATGTAACTTAAGCATTGATTAAAGACAAATCCAAGCTTGCCAAGATGATTTCTGAAAGTGCAGTCAATAAACAATAAATTTCACGTTTATTCAGCAATTTAAATGCCATCCTAAAGTGTCCTTAAAAACGTCACAAGAAAATAGGTTCCTTAGCATTGTCTGAAGACAAGGTGCTTTTACATCGCTTCAGTTTATACCGCAACTGACCGTAGTTTGGAGGGTATGAACCATCCCGGGGCCACCAGCATCGAAGACGGTATGCACCAGCCTAACCAAATATCTCGATCAGCTATTTCGTGCCTTGGGTCACCCACGTCAAAAGCTACCAAATTGATTCAGCCACGGCAAGGAAGGCCGTCAACGGGTACATGGAAAACATGACATAGCCAATGTAAGCAGTTAAGATCCAGCAAACACTCGAGTGAGGCACCTGAACGCTTATCATTATAAACCAGTTGGCAGACCGCATTGCTCACACTGTCCCTACCAGACGTGAGCCATGTTTCGCAAGCATCGGTAGCCCTTCTAGTTTCAAATGCTATGGACATAGCATCTAGTGAGCGGAAGTCGACCTCGGAGGCTAGCCACTTTCATCTACACTGGTAGGAACCTGCGTGGTAGTGGAGGACAGGTAGTGTTATATCCCAGTTAGCCTGCAAACTATGGACCCAAATCACCGTCTCCCATGACTCACGCATTTCAAAGGCCAGAGCTGCCTCCTTGAATCTGCGACATCTTTGGCGACAGAAGGGATTTTCCCTCCGTCTGAAAGACCGTGTATACAAGGCCATAGTAATGGCCGTTCTGCTCTATGGTAGTGTGACTTGGCCCCTTCGGTTTGAAGACCTGAGGCACCTTCAAGTCTTTGATCATCGTTGTCTGCGAAGCATTGCTGGTGTCGGATGGCACCAGCGTGTCCGCAACGATGATGTGTGTAGACGAGTACTGGGTAGTGATAGTCATGCTAGTTCCTTAGAACAACAGATAGCATTGAATAAGTTGCGTTGGCTTGGGCACGTGCTACGTATGCCTGGTCACCGCTTACTTAGGAGGGCCTTGTTCAGTCTGCCAGGTGTAGAGTGGCGCAAGGCTCGAGGTGAACAGAAGTTGACTTGGCAGCGGGAAAGGAAGTCACTGACGACCAAACTGGGTGCCGTTGGTCCGTCTCGCCTTCCGGGCTGGAGTCCACGTGACTCGCCTTTTGCTTGCCTCGAGACTTTACAGGACATGGCTCGCAGTAGACACCAGTGGCGCTTCTGCTGCCGTCTCCTAATCGGGTTGCCTGTTTAAAGTGTGTTTGGTGCTGAGTTATCTGCGAGGTAATGGCTGATTATGACGCGTGGCAGTGAAAGCCGCAAGGAAGCTGTCTCGCTGATGCCGCCTTATCTTTGCACGATAGCCAGCTGTTTGTGACGGTATGTTGTCTACACAAGGTGTAGGCGCCTTGGTCCTGAATGTTTGCTTAGGGCATTAAGGTTTTCAGGTAAGTCCCCCTTCTCTCCCTCTTCATATTCTTGATTTCATAGGGCCTCATGGTTGTATGGCAGCAAAGTATCAGTTCAGATGGCTGATGTACTGCTGTTAATGATGATGATAATGATGATGGCTCAATTTGTACTGGGCCAAGTATCAGGTCTATACATTAACATCAACTTTATCGCAGCACCGTAAATCCTACCTTCCAATGACAGGCTAATACCCCCCCGCCGTTTATACATATGGCTGAGCGTGTGGACATCCGCAGGGTCTTTGCTGTTACGCGAAGTAACTCTCTCAGTAATGTGAGCATTCAGAGTTGACACAACTACCAAAGTCAACCGATCTACCACTTCCAGAAGCTATTCGCTGATGGCTGGAATCGGTGACGTATCGGTCCAATCCTGAAATCATATTTTGCACTTTGAAGGTGCAAAGTGCATGCCGAAGTGTGCAACGTCACGCACCAGTCGATCCAGTAAGGTTTGCATAGCCAGACCCGAAGGGAGCAATGTAGTCCGCATGGCCAAGGTATCTTAGTCGCTTACCTGGCAGTACTTCCACTCCTTTAGAGTCTGAAAGAACTGTCATTCATGTTCATTACGAGCACCAAGTTGGAGAGGAAAGCAGACATAGAACAACCCTCATGAACCCCACTTGTAGTGGAGAAATTAGTGGAGAAATTAGTTTCCCTTAGGCCAGTATCCGGCCTCTGGAGTCCGTGTAGATACCTAATAACTGTAATGAATTCAGATAGCATGAGTTTCATGAATAAGCAGTGTCACAAGCTGACGCAGTTAACTGAGTCGAAGACAGCTTTCAAGTAAAGGAAAAGCACCGTAGTGGGTGTTGCTTCTGGCTGACACAGCATTGAGCGCAGTTGGTTTGCATGCCGTACCTAGACCTGCGTTCCAAGTAGCAAGTCATAAACAACATTCCTGCGCTGCCTTTGAACGTTACGGGCGTCCATTTTGGCGTCGCTCCCCGGCCACCTATATATGCCATTTTAACTTTAAAGTGGACATGTTGCAAACCATTTTGGATGTTTTGTAAGACAAAATGAACGTTTTGCAAACCACCTTGGGCGTGCAGCAAAACAATTTGGACGTCTTGTAAACCAAGTTGGAAGTTTTGCAAAACACTTTGGACGTTTAGCGAACCATTTTGGACGTTTTGAAAAACACTGGATGTGTTGCAAAACAAAATGGAGCTTTTACAAATCACTTTAAATAGATGGGATTTTAAACAGAAAATCACCAATTCACTTGCAAGAAATGAGGAGTAAGGCGACTAGACTATGTTCAGACTACATTGCAATCATGGTAATGTAACCGAGTTGTGTAACCAGCGGGTGCCACTGCAAACTCGTCTCCTGATCGTGAATTTCGATTGCCTTAATCCGAGGCGGTGATTGAATATCCCCCTATCTCATCTGTCTTCTCGTAGT